GAGGGCTGTGTTTCCGACATAAAAATCAGTTTAGCAGTTAACAGAATTCATGAAATACCTCCAATACAGTGCGGGGACAATTTCATAAGCACAGACCATTGGATGGGGAACGGCAATTATAAAAAATTTGATTCGGCAGCCTCCTCCCCAAGTCATCTGCATTTTAGAAATCTGACTGAGCCACTGAACACGACATACATAGCTTGGAAACCTGTGCCATTGCTCAGGAATGATGAGCTGCGTGCGTTCAAGACCAATTTTGAAACCGTAAATCGCCAGTTCAGATATGATGACATAATATTTTGGCTGTGGCAAGGCCACATAGATGAAGTCTCACGAAATTCACTGACTCTTCCGAAAATAAGCATCTATTTTGATTTGACCACTCTTCCAGAAGACTTCGCGGCTCAACCGATACCAAAGTATGCACAAAAGTTGACTGGAAAAGCGTTAGAGGAATATGTCAACAAGAAACAGTCGTTTTTTAAGGTCTGTTTTTCTGTGGTACTTGATAGTCAATTAGTTTTTTCCCGAATAGGCAGATACGACTACTCAAGGTTTATCTACAAATGAAGCGAGAAACAAGTACCTTCCCCAGAAGGACGCACTTCCTCTATTGGATTTATATGAAGGGAGTACATGGTGCTTAGTTTGAACCGTTGATGCTCATTTAGACCTGAAAACTTTCCTCAGCGTGAAACAGCACGCAGAATGTCTATACAGCGAAGAGCTCATTCGTGAATTCAAAGCTCCGGTGGTGGATCGTGTTAATTGGAGATCTCCAGGGAACAGGTCGTAAACGTCTGTGAACTAAGGCATCATAGCTTACTGATTAGCCAGTTCTGTAACATCGTCGCTTATCGGAGCTTCGCATTCCCTCGCAGGAAATCTCTACTCACTCTTCCACATTGAATGAAGTAACTTTTACTAGACTCTAAAAAACACATCTAAAATCGAGCATTGGTTGTCGTCTAAATAGTAATAGAGAAACAAAACCTTCTCATATACCACAACCTGGTTTTCGCCTTGAAAGCCACCTTTAATTCCGTCCTATTTTGAAAAATATTCAGGCTAAATATTCGGAAGTTGCCGAAAACCGCCTGAATAATTTGATGAAAATGGAATTCCTTCATGCACCCCCTGGAGAATACCTAAAAATGATGCCAGAAGAGTTGGATACAAATCAAGCACTTCCAGAAAGGTGACAATCGCTACTATTATTCTTATTGGATAAAATCAGTGAGAAATATTTGCTCTTCCTTTCAAAACTAGGTGATAGATAGTCAAAATTAAAAGAAGCCAAGGAAGCCACCTGAAAAGAGTTCAAACATTAGCACGTGATTGCTAGGAGCTCTGAACTGCTAGTTTTCGTAAGATACCGAGGTGGGGAATCAGCGACTCGTAGTCGCGATGCAATCTTATCTGTCGATTCGGAGAACGTGGACGAAAACTCGTAGCAAGGAAAAGTAACCTAGCACTAATTATTCCCATAATTACAACTGTAAAATATATTCAAAGTCCTAATGAGGTCTCTGGCTTCAATCAATCCTGTCTGAGGGATGCGCCCTGCATTCGACTTCCACTAATCGCAGTGGCGTACTGAATCGTAGTGGCCAGCCGATGTACAAGCTAATGCTTTATCTTCTCTGACGAGTCTAATACCAAATAACCGAACCCAAATTAATAGAGGGCTGGGAGGGCCTCAGCGGATATCGATCCGGGATCGGAACCTGTGACCGATCGTGTGAAATGCGAATGTAATTCTTTATGCGAGTTCCCTGTATTTAGCCTTCACACGGTGGAATATGGTATAGCTGTTTCGCTAACAAAGTATGGCAAAACTATCTCCCTATCAAGCCCGAAAGCTCCGCGTTCAAAGACAAAGTCATACTGCGAGGAGATTTTACACTGATCGTCTTTATATATAAAGCACTGTTTGTATCCCGTTTGTGTGCCCTCCCAAAAGTCACATAGGCACGATCACGGGCGTGAAGACCACAAGAGCGCGATGACAAAACAGCTATGAAATGAAAAGTCATTTGATGCTCTTTATATTGGTTCGTTGATTAATATCCTGTCTGTTTATGAATTCACAGACTAAAAGTCACAACTTGCCTCAGGACAATCAAACCTTCAGGAACAAGGTTGGAATGGAAACAATTCCACGGCCACCTATTAGTGTCAAGAGTTAACACCCACAAAGCGGCATCAGATCGTCCAAATTGGGGAATATCACCTAATGGGGAAACGGTTATGAAAAGGGAAGTCAACGGATACTGTTTATATTGGTCCTCTAACAAGTCGTAGGTAAGCGGTATTGGGCATGGCATGGTGCACTCGTTAGTGTGCATAGCCCAACTGGTTATACAGTAAGCTAGTCCGCTGCAGCATAGCCGAGCTCAAAGTGCCTGAGTGATGAAATTTGGTCTGAAAATGTAAGTGCACCTAACTCCTGATTCGCACTTCGAACTTGTATAATGTTATTTGGCAGGACTTAGCGGAACTTATAAAGCAAAAATCGACGATTGATACGCGGAATGTGATTAGCTTCAATCTGCTGATAAGCGATTCTAAGCATGGGTATCGTAACCCTGATCCGAATTCTGGGCAGATTAGAGCATGTGCTCCTTCGTAGATCAGCGAAATTGAGCCTTTCTAATGACGGAAGAATGATCGATCCTTTAAACTACAGCTGAAGTGGTCGAGCTACCGTGTTGAAGACATATGAGGATCATGGTTCGGGTATATCGGTATATCCTCGACCCGTCCTTTAGGTCGCAGAATACGGAAGCTGAAGCCTGAGAATTGCTAACGTTCCAGGGGGTGGTTCTTTTCAGAGAAGATTCGGTCTTTTTTCTTTGCTAACGGAAGTGTACTCTCGAATTTTGCCTGTCAAACCTTTAGTGTCTGTTATTAAAAAATTTATTTCAGGCTGAATACATTATTTTCTGTTTAGTTTTGATGCTCGTGACAAATGGAAGAACTGTTCCTCGGTTATCGGTTACATTCGAGACCAGTCAAATTGCGGTATGATCGTATACTGTTGAGCATTTAAAGGGGGAGAAGAAAATGACATTAGCTTGCTTAACTTGGCTCTCATCTAGAATCCTGAGGTAACAAAAAGTGTGGCGAATGGGTGCTCTGCTAGGGTGTGTGACGATTTGTTGTGGGGCTCCATTTCATTTCCTATCGTGCAATATTCTAAGAGCACTAGCTGTGGAATGATTTCAAGGACAGGCTTCCCTCTCCAAAATGGACCACAATTTTGTGCGATTCAGACAATTCGCAGGTGATTGAAAGAAGCGTGAGCATTCACCTAGAGGTTTTATAGCGTTGAACATGACCATCGTGTCTATGCCTTGGAATGTAAAAGGCTTTTCAGGGTCGTGTTGGGCCGTCTCAGCTGCGGAAACCATGTCCGATCGCCTTTGCATCGGGACAAATGGTAGGGTACAGGTCAGTCGAAAATTCATCAGTGTTGGTAGAGGACTTTTCGAGTTATTCTTTCGGTACTGAGAAATAAACTGCCGTAGAAAACATAGTTGTGTACCATGTACGGCTTTCTATGAACCTCGGCATAATTGTATCATTGAGTTTGTTCTTTTCTTGAGCTCTTCACGAGGTTTTTAAATATGCTTTATTAGGCTGACGTTTCGGCGGAATCGCCTTCTTCAGAGCCTGTAAGGATCATAACAATCTGTGATTATCCGACCAAACGTCTCCACCAACTCACTAAGTTCGAGACCCCCAGGGCACGCAGGTGGTCGAAAGGAGAACCACTCACCGTAACTTTGTGGATTCTTCG